GCTAGATCTGCTAAATTGCAAACTGAAAAGAGTGGCTGGAATTTTGTCAGAATATTTGTCGTCCGTATGGGAAATCGTATACCTAAAATGAGTTTCGATTTGCACTTGCGCCATGATTTAACGCATTTCAAAGATATTAGTAGCGAAGTGGCTATTTCGCTTATCGGATAATGTCCGACGTTGAAACTTCGCTGAGATATCCTGCTTTCATACGATCTTAATTCTGCTTCAAGGTGAAATTTCCTGCGGATGATTATGAGGAATACTCAACATTATCGTAAACTCAGAAATGAATGCATTTTGCAGAGAACGACCGCCCTCATCCTCTCCCAACATTCAGTTCATTTAAATTTTTTAGTTTTTATGCGTTTTTGCATAATATGCAAGCGCGAAAACGCATATTCCGAGGACCCCGGTGTGTTCGCGTGTGTGTGTGTCTGTCCGGGTATTTCAACTCGGCACCCAAGCAAGCTCCGGCACCAAAATTTTACGAGTGGGCTCCCCGGCCAAGTGCTACCCCAGGACCGTGGTACCAACCCTCAAGCACGTCTAGGCCCAACGTACGAGCGCCTCAAGGTTTTGGCGCGAAAATCGCTAGTTCGAGAACCAAGAAAGCTGGGAGGCTGAAATTTTCAAGAAATGTTCCCAACTCATCTGCAACTTAAATTAATCAAATTCAGCCACCCGTTATGCGTGGTTACCACGTACGACCCTGTGAAAGTTTTTGGCGAGAATTTGGGTAAATCGGGAACTGAGAAAGCTGGGAACCTGGGATTTCAAGAGAATGTTTTCTGTCCAAGTATAGCGTGGATAATTAACTTCCCGATATTCGAGGACCATGTGTACAAGAGGTTTTTAGCTAGCGGAATTTCGAATGATCTTATTACAGCAAGAAACACTGCAAAACGTATGATCGCACGGGCCCGCCCAATACGCGTCGCCAATGATTTTTAAACTGCAAAAAAGCGCAAAATAGTAGTGAGCGTGTTCATCAAATCAGGTGAAAAGCAAATAAAAAGTTCGCATTCCAGAGATGAACTCGTGGAGGATTTAGTGCAAGCGCCAAATGGAATTACGTGCAATCGCCAAATGGAATTAAGTGAACTTGTTTGGCTGACAAGCAGTGGGCGACACGTGCCGACTAGTCATTCTCATGAGAAAGCATGGCTTGCCCTGTAATTCAAGGCTCAGGCTTTTACATGGTTCAAGCGACGAGTGCATTAACAGGAGGTGACTAGTCCAGGATAAAAATGCGCTCCAACTACACTACGGAAGTCTAAACCTTGGTTATCTGCGCTATTTTTGCATGAGACTGTTTGCGTGTCTGTTCTTTACATTTATATATTATCGTGGATCCATGCATCCAACATTTGTACCAACCAGCTCTTTGTGCCTTGTACAATTATATGTAAAAATTGTCGAATTTTTTGCTCTCCTCATCCGCTTTTCTTGGCTGTACAAACTCGTTCGTTACACACAGCCGATGGATATCCCACACTGTGCGAGTTATTCGCTCTCGGAGGGCTCCGCTGAGGGACCGTACGCTGAGCTTTGTCCGAACAGAGCCACCTGCAGAATATGGAACCTTCAAAAAACGCATGATGAGTGTTGCTTGTCATTGTTACAACGGGCATCCGAGCAGTTTCCTGCGCTGTTGTAAATTAATGGTTTTCAGCACCGCTACTACGTCGTTGCATCCAATCACTGCCTCATCGAAAGGTCACACAAGGAGCAAATAAAGGTCACTTTTATGCTGGATACCTCCTTCGCTCACTAACCAAAAACTATTCTCATTTGTAGCACTGGAACCTTTTCTATTTTTGGTTTGTTGAAAGAAAAGCACAGAGTAATGAAACACATTTGGTCTGCTAAGCATGCATGGGGCTTCATGCATTTTTCTCAAATCGGTCAGACTGTGATTCAGTGAAAGAAGCCATCGACAACAAACAAAATCAACAATACGAAAACACAGCAGTGTTTAAAACAAGTTGTCAAGGTTAAACCCTGGTTCATCCAGACGCGATGTGAACAGCTGCACTACTAATACTGCAGAATTGATGTTTTCTGAACCTCTTCAAATTCATCTATTTATTGCATCCTTCATCACTATGTCCTCTGTTCGTCGGCAAATTCCTCTGTAACAATTTTTCCAAAAACTCGATAGAAATAGGTCAGAAAGTCAGTGCTTGCAAAAAGTCGGACTTGCAGAGATTTTATCTACAGAAGAATACTGCATACATGCACAGGCGGATCGAGGGCGTTTCCTTGGCGGGGGGGGGGG